ACAATAAATATTAAACATTGAAGAAATTGAAAGTTTTATTTTGTAATAAGTAATAAGCATAGGTTTAAACAAATTCTCGCTCCTTCTTTGTTTTTTGTTGAATTCGTATTCTGTTTCTCGTATGAGGGAACAAATGTAACAATCCACCATGACTGCATCCCAGAAGCCGTGATACCGCCGCTCCATTTGCTTACGTCGCACACTGGAGTATGGATGCCTATCGAAGGGACAAAAAGGAAAAAACATACATTGTTAATTTTGTTAGAAATCTGATGCAAAATTAAACTAAATACATTGCTTAAACTAGCGCAAGCAAAACTAGTAGGCTGTCACTTAAAACGGGCGGTGATAGCATGTCAAAGATATCAGTGTTGATTGAACGCTTTCCTGTCATAGTTACTCTAAATTTATTTTCAAAACTTCACAGCCATTTCAGGAAAAGCCAAGATTGAACTTTTCCAGTTTTTTGGCAAAAATATATTTAGGTAAGCCATTAGATTCTTACCTTAATGGCACATACTAATTTAATATGTCCATTGATTTTATATACAGCGTTGTTTGTCAGTATCGCAAATTAGAAGTTTTCTTTTAATTTTTGCTTATTTTGGCAGAGGTTATAGTTGTGTTCCGGGCGTTTCCGAAATGAATAGTTCATCACAGAATAATGACCAATCATCGTTTATTATGAAACCGTAAAAAAAAATTGCTAATATTTGCTATTCCGTAAATCCCTGAATATAATGTTAAATGCAGTTAACACGTCATTTTTGCACAATACCAATGTATTAAATTATTTTGGTCAGCATAATTCAAAAAGTATTGATTCAATTTTGATGAAATTTGGCAGGCGACTTACGTACAACAGAAAGACTTGATTAGTTTTTTTTTAAACCCCAACATGGCAGATCAAAATGGCGGCCACTTTAATTTTTGATTGGCTATAATTCATGAACTCTTATCCCGATGTCAATAAAAATCTATTAGGTAGGTTTGTAAACTTAAAGAAATATTTTTCACAAATTCAAAAAATTCAATATGGCGGAACAAAATGTCTGTTTTGATAACCCAAAGAGTAAGATCGATTAACTAATAATCTTAGCTTTATCAACTCTGTCAAAATAAAACAATGGGTTTAAAAAAAAAATTGATTTCTGTATTTTTTTCCGCAATTATTTATTTAATTTTCAGTTTCAGTTTTAGTAAATAAAATATGCAATTCAGTATTGTCAAGTGTGCAAAATTTCAACATTATTATAAAATAATACTGCAAAAAAGGTTTAACTACCTAATTGGTATGTTTTGTTATTTTTCTTGAAGCTATACTGGATAAGTAGTAAAAAAATTTATAAACCTCAAAAAATGAAACACCATGTATATATTTCCATAATTTTAAGTTAATAATTATTGTCAACATATTTCCAGGATATTAAAGCCTATTAATAGTCGGAATTCCGACTTAAAGCTCTCAACCTATTTTGAAAATGAAACGCCCTGTATATATTTCCATAATTTTAAGGTAATAACTATTGTCAACATACTTCCAGGATATTAAAGCCTATTCCGACTTAAAACTCTCAACCTATTTTGAAAATAAATTTTGTCCCTTCATGGTGTCCAAATACCCCAGTGTGCGTCGCCCAGATTGTGCGAGTTATTTACGCACTCGAACTCTCTACTTCTTTTACTCATTTTACACTTTTTATTAAATAAATAAAACCATGATATAAATACCTTGTTGAAATATCAAAAAATATCACTATGCCAACACGATAAACAAAACAATTCACGTTTGCGGAGTCATCTCAAATTAAAATTTTAAATAATGTTTTCGGTAAAAAAGTACGTAAAAAACTCAAAAAATTCCAATCATGGACTTTATTTGGGTTTTCATTAAAGAATAAACATATTACAAAATAAAAGAAAAAAAAAATTCTTCAAAAAGCTGAATTTTGGTCTTCCACTAAAAAATTCATAACTTCGCCATTTTTTTTATGTATTTTTATCAATATTAGCTTGTTTTTTTTTGTAAAAAAAGAAGAAAAAAAATTCAAACTGGAGTTATCTGTTTGATTTAAACCTTTCCCAGGACGATATGTAAATTTTCGACCTCAATTTTTGCCATAAAATTGAATTTTTTATAAAAGAAAAATTGAGTGTGATTTTCGTATATACAAAAAAAGTTTATATAAACTTATATATACAAAAGTGCTCTTTTAGTTTCACCCTTACTTCTTAAGAAGTCCCATAAGCCAACTGAATGGCTTGTGCGGGTTAGGGGTAGGAACGGACCGTGGGCTTAAAGTCCCCTCCGAAGGACTATTACACAATAGGACAACACAAATAAACAGACATACCCCTGGTGGGATTCGAACCCACGACCTGCGGCTTGTAGTTAGCAGCACTAACCACTAGACCACCGACGCGTCGGCGATATTTAGGGCCGGTTTTTCAATCGTTGGTTAAGTTTATCTTACAGTTAATTTCCTTAGATACAATTGTTAACACAATAGTATCTAAGAAAGTTAACCGTAAGATAAACTTAACCAACAATTGAAAAACCGGCCCTTAGTGGGTCTTTTGTAATCTAGTGTAATTGAATGAGCAAGTTGATAAGGGGTTAAGTAACATTTTTAATAATAAATGATAATATATAAGTCTGAAAAAGCTTAACCGATTTAAATAATTTTTTTCGCCCTAATACAGGGGTTATTTAAAAAACCAAAAACCAAAAGGAACAGCCGGAAAATCAAAAAATCGAAATTCGTACAACTTTGAATTAATTTGAATAGATGGCGTTCGTAGCTGCGCTTCAAATTAAATAACTATTAAACTCGGAAATGGCTCAACCGATTTAAATATTTTTTTGTTATGTTCGCCTCAATACAGGGGTGGTTTAAATAAAAAAAATACATTAGGGAAAACCGAAAGGAACAGCCGGAAAATCAAAATTCGTACAACTTTGGATTAATTTGAATAGATGGCATTCGTAGCTGCGCTTTAAATTAAATGAAAAAACATAAACACAAATTCATTAATTCAATTGTTTACGCGAGAAATTAGTTTAAATAGTAAATTTCTCAAGGTAAGTTGGACAGATTTGAGCGACTGTGAAAAAATTTCCGTGCAGTGATGGGCAAGTACCCGGTATATTGAAATTTGGGTAAATACCCAAGGTATGTACCCGGTATGTACCCAATGGATAAATTCAGGGTGTATTCAATTTGGTATTTACCATATACCCGGTATTTACCGGTATATGGTAAATACCAAAGTATTGCTACTTTGTTAATTTAAGGTAGTTTAACAAATTGTAGTTAAATTAAGAATAAAAAGTAATTGAATAAATCGAAATAAAATGAAAAATAATAAATACGTTAAAAAATACATTTTAATTGAAACAAAATTAACACAAAAAATATAAGTTAACAAAACAAAAATGATTTTTATAAATTTTAATGCCTAATGCATTATATTTAAATTAAAAAATATTTGTATATAAATTATATGTAATTTTGTTCCTGGGTATATCCTCAGGATTATTTTTGCACATTATTTTTTTTAATAAAAAATTTGGGAACGACCCAACAAAAAAGGAATACCCTGTATAAATAAAAATACCTATTATTAATATAACTTTTGTTCCCTACAATTTTTGTTCGATTCCAGTACTGCCGTGCTTAATGAAAACGCCGTAACCAACAATTTTGAGATTTTTGTTTTACGGCATTTTCTACGAGAAAAATTCATCCTGCGTCTATCCCCGGTACTCAAAAATATATATGAAATATAGATACGGTTTTTTGAGTACAGGGGATAGACGCAGGATGAATTGTTCTAGTAGAAAATGCCGTAAAACAAAAATCTCAAAATTGTTGGTTACGGCGTTTTCATTAAGCACGGCAGAGTAGTTCTCAAAATAAGTAAATGGGTCACCTTACGTGGACCACTTTGTATATTTACTATTTAAGTAATAAGTAGTTAATATGCAACAAATTAAATAATTATAACACTTTTCAATCAGCACGCTAAAGCACAAAATTGTCTTTTTTTCACTTTTAGGAGTAAATTTACCACAAACATAAGATACAAGTGGGAAGAATTAACACATGGGTATAACATTTTGTATATTTAGAATTAATTTAAATATTTCGATAATATTTATTAACAAAAAAGTAATAGTACTATTAATTTTACTAACTATAGTTAATTATAATAATAGTATTAATTTGACTAACCAGACTCTTCCTTTTTAATCTTAGTGTAATTAGTAAAAACGTACCTCGTTAATAATATTATTACCTACAAAGCAGTAGCGACACAAATAGTTGAACTGTAGAAGATGAACAATACAAAAACCGCTGTGCTGTTTAAAGATTCCCGTACGAGAATCTATAAATGGCACTACGATTTTCGTATTGTTCATCTTTTACAGGAGGATGGAAGGAAGGAAGGAAGGAAGGCAATCTATAAATCAGGCTTTATAGTTTCCAACTACAACTTAACCCCACAACTCAAGTCTAATGGAATATTTCGAAGCGGAAATAGGACCGCGCGATTTAGGGAAATATCCTAATTTTATAATAGAATTTCTCAACAAGTTGTCGACAATAACCGGATGGTAAATACCTGGTATATACCGGATACATATCAGTTCCCCACATACACATTCTGTCTGTATATACCAGGTATATACCCAAATTTTATTTACCTACCCATTGGGTATTTAACCCACCGCCCATCACTGATGTCGTGTCGTTTTACAGTGTTCAATGAATTGGAGTTGAAAGGTTCATAAGGATTGATAATCGCTTATAAAGAATTTTAGATGAAACGAAGTTTACCGGGTTTTTTTTTTTTTTTTATTAAAAATGTTACTTAACTCCTTTATCCACTTGCCCCTTTAATTATAATATAAACTAAATTGTATATAGGTTTATGTACAACCAAATTTATTAACTTTATAAATTTTTGTTTATACATATACATTTTTTGTTTTTTAGTTTCAGCCTTCAAAACAAAAAATAAAGAGGAAAACGGATTTTGATCATGATTTTGATTTTATGAGTTCAAATAACGATTATAATAAGGATACATGGAACGACGTAACTAAATATATAAAAAGAAAGGCCAAAACCAAAGTTGATGATAAAATTAATAAAATAAGAGAATCACAAAATAAAGATGATGTTGAAACTGAGGACCTTAATAACCTTCCAGGGGATGATATATATTTATCTGAAGATGAATTGGAATATGATAGGATTAAAACAAAGGAGAAAAAAAATAAGAAAAATAATGAAAATAATGATTTTTTTGAAGATGCTGATATTGATAGGAATATAGGCAGTTTTTATCAGATGAATATATCAAGACCTTTACTAAAAGCTATAACCGAAATGAATTTTATACATCCAACGCCTATTCAAGCAGCTACTATTCCTGTTGCTTTATTGGGAAGGGATATATGTGGATGTGCTGCAACTGGTACTGGAAAAACTGCTGCCTATATGCTTCCCACTTTAGAACGACTTTTATTTAGACCTTCAGGAGGTACTTCAGTTACTAGAGTTTTGGTGTTAGTGCCAACTCGAGAGTTGGGGGTTCAAGTCTACCAAGTAACAAAACAAATTTGCCAATTTAGTGATATTCAAATCGCTTTAGCAGTGGGCGGATTGGATTTAAAAGTACAGGAGTTAATGCTTCGAAAAAATCCAGATATTGTTATAGCCACTCCTGGAAGACTAATAGATCACTTAAAAGGAACACCTACTTTTACCTTGGATTCTATTGAAGTTCTTATTCTTGATGAAGCAGATAGAATGTTGGATGAGTATTTTGCAGAGCAAATGAAAGAAATTATTAAACAATGTTCTAGACAAAGACAGACCATGCTATTTTCTGCCACTATGTCTGATGAAGTAGAAAATTTAGCTGCTGTTTCACTAAACAAGCCAGTGAGAGTTTTTGTTGATAATAATAAAGATGTAGCGTTTAACCTAAGGCAAGAATTTATTAGAATAAGGACCAATAAAGAAACTGACAGGGAAGCAATTCTTTCAGCATTAATATGTAGAACATTCAGAGAGCATTGCATGGTATTTGTTCAAACTAAAAAACAAGCACATAGGCTACATATTGTATTGGGGTTATTAGGATTGAAAGTAGCTGAGTTACATGGTAATTTAACGCAACCTCAGCGACTTGAGGCTCTACGAAAGTTTAAAGATGAAGAAGTAGATATATTAGTTGCAACTGATGTGGCAGCAAGAGGTTTGGATATTCAAGGAGTTCAAACAGTCATAAATTATGTAATGCCTACAACTTTGGAACATTATATTCACAGAGTAGGCAGAACGGCTAGAGCAGGGAGAGCAGGTGTTTCTGTAAGTCTTGCCGGTGAACAAGAACGAAAAATTGTTAAAGATATTATAAAAAGAGCACGGCAACCCGTTAAAGGTAGAGTCATACCACCTGAAATATTAGAAAAGTACAAAGTAAAACTAAAAAATCTAGACTTTCAAGTTACAGCAATTTTGCAAGAAGAATATGAAGAAAGATTATTAAACAAAACTGAAAATCAATTTAACCGTGCCGAAAAGATTTTAAAGGGCGAAAAGAATGATGTAAGGCCTTGGTTTCAAACTAAATCTGAGAGAAAGGATGAAAAAGAAAGGCTAAATAATAAATTTAAAGATAAAAATAATAAAAAGAAAAAGGACAAAACAAATATTCCAGATGAAAAAAATGATAAAATTGCACGTATGCAAGCTAAATCAGCAAAAAGAAAACAAAAACAGAAAAAAATAAGTGCCGTTCAAAATGATGTTCAAATTACTAAAACTATTGGCAATAAACGGAAGTCGAATTTTGATGCTCTAACAAATACATCCTTTAAAAATGCGAAAAAATTAAGATACCAACCGAAAGAAACCAGTGAACGTAACCGAAAATTTGGATCACAATTTATGAGGAAAAATGACAAGAAAAAGTAAATTTTGTTTTAATATTTTGCATTTAATAAATATAATTATATTTATTGCAGTTTTAATTTATACTAAATTAATTACAACAATACAACATTTTTTAAGACTTCATATTTGTACGTATTTTAAAATCAAATTATTACACACCGGCGTACAATAATGAAAATACATCGAAATTACATAGAGTGGTTTCATCTATCTCGTTTGACTCGAAATCAACAAAAAAATGTAAACCCAGATAACCAGCGTCCTTCCGTTTGCCGGTCAGTTGCCTACTATTCGTTCTCTTGATATGGTAGCCGTTTGCTGTCAAGTGGGTGCCACCATTTGACTGGCTGTAGACAAAAATCTTTTCTAACAACATATTGTGTGCAATCCACCGGCAACCGACAAGAAACCTTTTGCTTATAATTATTGTGGACAACCTTCTTAGGTTGTCCACAATAATTATAAGCAAAAGGTTTCTAGGCGGAAATGTTTCCTGACAACTTATAGTGTGCAACCCACCGGCAACAGACGGGAAACCTTTTGCGTATACTGATTGTGGGCAACGGAGAGGAAATGATTTACCTATTCAAATTCACTGAATTTGGTGGCAATTTGCCGATAACGAATCAGAAATTAAAAAAAATAAATAAATGAAGCGTTGATAACTAGAGTGGCCTTACCCACAATTTATTCTAAAATGGGGTTATAATTTTAGGACAATATATATATATATATATATATATATATATATATATTTGGGTGCTTTTTTAACAAAGTTTTTCATTTCCGAAAAAAAGCGCCGTTATATATATTTATATATATACCCAGGTAGCAGGCTGACGTCTTTAACACGTCGTTTATTGGTCATGAAAGACGTCAAAAATTACGTAAATACCTAAAACGTAAAAAAGACGTGCGTAAGTCACAGACCAATGACGTCTTTTTTGACGTGTAAAAGACGTCATCTTAAGACGTCATTATAGGTGTAAAAGACGTCAATTTACGTTATTATTTAGTTTCAGCAATATTCAAATCTGCACACTTTGGAAATGATTTAGGCGCAGAAAAGGCATTTTTTCTTGCAATTGGGCTGTAAAATAAGCAATCCAAATATTTGGACAATTTAATGAAATTGCCAGTAAAATTATTTAATATTTATTTAAAGGGTTAAAGGCGTATTAACTAAAGAACTTTGACAATCTTTACCCTTAACTTTTTTAGTTTCCCGTGTTAATTAACACACATTCATTAAAAGGAGAGTACATAAAACACAACAATACAAAAAATACAATTTTATTTTTAAATGATAATAAAACATATTATTAATAAATTCACAATTCTAGGTTATTACAACTTTCATGTGTATGGAGAATTGGAAAAGACACCAACTTATCAGTCATAGGAAGTATTATCATTTTTGCTACAATATTATCAATTGACCAATATTGTACATGTTGAGATATACTTTCAATAAAAAAATGTCGAGTCGATTGGATATAAATATAGTGATTTATAAACTTGAAATTGTTTTCCAATAATATATGTCTGTTTATTTGATCCTAGGACTATATTTTCAATTCTGACAACTCGGCCATTTCAAGCGCGCGAAACGCACGAATTACAAAACTGTTTTTATAAAAAAAATTGTAGATTATTTATTATACAATATTTTGGCATCAAAATTGTCAAAAATATTCTTCTTTTATTAGGTTATACATTAAATAAAAAAAAACTCAAGAAATATTTTATGAAAGTTGATATAATTTTAATAATTGAAAGGTGTGGACGGGACAAAAAAAAGATTTATCTTGTCCTGTCCATCCCTGTCAATTATTGAAATTATCTCTACTTTTATAAAATATTTCTTGCGATTTTTTTTATTTAATGTATACCCTAATAATAGAAGAATATATTTGACAATTTTGATGCAAAAATAATATATAATAAATTAGCTACAATTTTTTTTATAAAAACAGTTTTGTGATTTGTCCCGTCCATCCGCTTGAAATGGCCGAACTTTCCTATCTTTTGAAAGAAAATAAGAATTTGCTGCTGAATAATCAAATGTAGAAAATCTTGTATTTTTATGAAAAAGCTTTTTATATTGCTTGCATATGTCTAGAGCATAAATGACAGGCCCTGTGACATGTTCAACAGAACGCTGAATAGTCTGGGGATCAACATTAGTACTATCTGAATTTAAAAAAGACAGTTCGTGTAGTCTTCTAAAGATTTGTTGTAGAGGCTTGATAGGGGATCTAACCAGATTTTTAACATTACTGAAGTAATTTTCAAAAGGAAAACCGGAAAACAAATCTAAAATGCCATATTTTTCTACATCATCAGGTAAATGAATTAAGGTATGCACATTATAAACTAAAAATTGTTTTCCATATATAACTTTACTATGTTCTACAAAATTATTTAATAAATCGCGAACAAAATCTAATCCAATTTTTTTAATAAGCTCTTTAGATAAAAGAATAAAAACTGCTGTGTGAAGTAAGAGCTTGAACCAACTTTAAATCCAGCTAAAGACCACCCAGAACATTTTTGTTGTATATGATTTGTGGATACTTTAGGAGTATTTTCCAACAAAAATCGAAATCCTATACTGAGCACTTTTTTATAAAACTTGATTCAAATTTTTTTTTTTTTTAAATTTTTTTAACACCGAAACTAACAGGTCAAAAATTTTTTTATTGTCTGCAAAGCCTCATAATTGAGTGACTAAATAGAAACAACAAAATTAGGGCCTAAGCACTGTTTATATTTCACGATAATTTAAAAACAATATTTAATTCAAATTATTCTTGAATATACATTATATTTTCTTATACATGGAAACTATTATACTTTATGAGGAACAGCCTTTAATAATTGACAACCATATCTTGCATTGTTAATATCAACTTTGAATCTTTTCCATAATTCATTAAAATCGTGATGGACAGACTCCATCGCCTGCTCGCTGTAATAACCGAGGCCTCTTCCAGTTTTCTTGCAAGATTCAGCAACATGGTAAAAAACTGCGTGAACTTTTGGTGTCACACTAATATTTAAATTTAAGTAGGTTGTTATGAATTGATTTATGTACATTTGATAATTTGGGTCCAGCTCATTTGAGAAACATAAATCAACCACTTTTTTAAAATAATCAAAACATGTGACAAAATCCAAGCACGCAATATTAATCCTGTTACACATCGATCGCAATTTATCGATATTATCCAATAAAGTCTTGCAAGAATTTCCAGCAAAACATGGTTGATCACCGTATCTAACATCCCTTGAAACATTGCAGGCTTTGATCCATGCTAGACTTATATTTTGAAAACTTGACGACAGCATGTGTTTGACTAAATGATTCACTATTCCAATTAAAAGGTGCAATTCAGGAGGAATCACTATGTCAATAATCTCTGTAGTTTTGTCTTGATTGAAAACAGATTTATGAATGCAGTTTTTATAAAATTTTGCTTTTTCACTTTTAGAACCATCTTTTGTCCATGCTTCAAAATTTTCTTAGCAGCTGCCAAGCGTTCTGAGATTCCCTGATTCGTGTAATTTATCTTTGGGTACATCACACCAAGTGCATGGATAATAACATGAATGAGCCATTATTGGAACTGTATATTTTAATTCGTTTAACTTTAAAAGAGACCAAAGCATTGAAAGATTTTTGTAATTTTCTTGTGAACCAGATACTAAACCAAAAATTAACAATTTTTTTCGAGCAATTCCACACAAGGTACATTTACATGTTTGATTTAACGCAGTTCGAGTGTACATAGAAGGAAAAGTAAATGTCGAATAATATGGCATATTCAAATTTTTACCTTTTTTAGCTGCGTCATAAATGTCAATCCTGCAAGTACTACATATCTTACTTGGCAAACGTTTATCGTTAAAGTCATAATCAGTGCAATTTTTCTTCTTTTTGATGCACATAACACACAGTTTCGTTCTATTTTCCTCGTGAGTAAAAGCATGATTTTTAATTGGATTTTGCATTAAGAGTCCATCCATATCCAGTTTGATATTGTATATTAAAAATGTTTATGAATTTTATACATTTATAAACTATTAATCTACTTATTCAGAAAAATAATATTTGATAAGTGAACTGTTAACCAAACTATCAATGTCAATGCCAATGTGTTATAAAGTACAAACAAGTCATAGTCTGCCCTATATAATCCATGGATACGATCATATTTACGAATTCCTGTCGGAACAAAATATTGCTTAAGTATTCTCCGAAAGATACTTGTCCAATCTTGAAAGTAAGCAGGTAAGGTATATTATCCAAGCCTTATTATTATACTGTATGTGAAATATCGTGAAATATAATTTTTTTTATGCACCAATTTTGTTGTATATATTTAGTCATTCAATTACGAAGCTTTGCAGACATTAAACACACTTTTGACCTTTTAGTTTCAGTGTTAAAAAAATTAAAAAAAAATAAAAATTTCGAATCAAGTTTTATAAAAAAGTGCTCAGTATAGGATTTCGATTTTTGTTGGAAAATACTCCTAAAGTATACACAAATCATATACAACAAAAATGTTCTGGGTGGTCTTTAGCTGGATTTAAAGTTGGTTCAAGCCCACCGTGAGAGAGTATGTTCATACACTGCTACATCAACTTTGTTTCTTAAAACAAGAGGTGCAAGATAAACTATAAAAGTTCTGAACTCCGTCGCCTTCCAACGAGGTAATTCATTTAACATTCGGGGCTTTCTATTAAAATCAAGTGGGATATACCCTTTTAAAGAAATTAGATGATCAGAAATTGATTTAACATCACTATTCCCTAAACGAATTTTTAAATCACCTTTATGATTAATTCCTGTCCAAATACACAACATTTTTCTGACAACACCTAAGCATATGAAGAGCACACAGCAAAAACGATGAAAGTCACTTTTTTTCTAAAAATGAGTTAAATATACGATAAAATAGCTGAGAGTCTGTAGTATATGCTAGACCGGTTAACACAGCAAGAATGCTCTTGGTCTCGGAGTTATATCGGAAACAAAAAATGGTGTACACAGCAAAAACGATTAAAGTCACGGGCAAACATAGCAAAAACGGTTAACCAACCAATCCCTTGTCTGCGGTTAACGTCAGTTTTTGACGTTCGTGTTAGTTACGCATTAGGTTATATTTATTGTTGTTGACATTGTTGTGTTTTATAAAGCAAAACAATACTTAAGCAAATAGGCACTTCGCGTTGAATCGTGTAGTTTTGTAGTGTTAAAATGAATATACAAGGACTAAATGAAGAAAATAATAGCAGCGATTCAGATACAATTGAAAAATTGAATATGGGTTCTAAGAAAAGAAAATCTTTTGGACGAGAAGTAGACGTTATGAAAAAACTGAGGATAAGTTCCCACGAGCAGGGCGAAGACTGTAAATGCAGAAGGTATAAATGTTTTGAGATATTAGATTTGCTTGAACGTAAACGAATTATAAAGGACTTCAATGAAATATTTTCTAAAGATGAGCAAAGTTCGTATTTAACAGGATTAATAAACGTTTTACCAATTAAACAACGTCGCCCAAGACAAAATGAGGAATTAGCCAAATTTCATGATAGGGCATATTCTTATAAAGTAAGAACTATGAAGGAGAATAATATTATTGAAGTTCCGGTCTGTCGAAAGGCATTCCTGTCCTTGCATGGAATTTCTGGAAGGTGGTTACAAACAATTCAGCAGTCCTTAAAAAAATGTGGCAAGTCGCCAAAAGATATGAGGGGAAAGTACTCACACACCCATTGCACCAAACCTCCTGCTACGTTGGAGGCTGTAAAAAATCACATAGGTTCTTTTAAAGGCAGACAAAGTCATTATAGCCGTAAAAAGTCTACTGTGGTTTATCTACCGGAGAGCCTTAATCTAAAGAAGATGTACAAGATGTACACAGATTTAAATCTTGGATCTGTGTCGTACGAATATTACCGCAAGATATTTAATAACAATTTTAATATTAAATTCGGTTACCCTCGAAGCGACACATGCAGTTCGTGTGACAAATTTACCGCAGAGAAATTGAGCTTAGAGAGAAAACTTGAAAATACACTAACGGCAGAAGGAAAAACAGATCTAATGCAACAATTAAAAAATTTAGAAATTCAGAATGAGTTACACCTAAAGAAGGCTGATGTTTTTTATGCAAGGAAGAGAGCAGCAAAAAAAAGAAGCATAAAAGTTATGGACTACGAAAGCATTGCTATGGATTTCCAAAAGAATTTTCCACTACCGAATATTTCCACTAATGATGTATATTATAAACGTCAGCTTTCTTTTTATTCATTTAATATCCATGTTCTTTCTACAGCCGATTCATACTTCTATTGCTACTCGGAAAATGTTGCTGCTAAAGGGTCCGAGGAAGTGATTTCTATGCTTCACCATTTTATATTTACTCAGTTAGATAAAAGATTAAAACAGCTCGAAATATTTTGCGATTCATGTGGTGGGCAAAACAAAAATTATAATATTTTTCGATATATCCATTACGTTGTTGTAACTACTAGAAGACTTGACATGATCAAAATTACCTTTCCAATAAGGGGACATTCTTATGCGATAAGAATATGGGAATTATCAACCAGAATACTAAAGCTGAGACTATTGCTGACTGGATTAATGAAATAAGAGAAGCAAGAGCTAATCCAGCTCCATTTAAAGTTTTTGATCTAGAACAAAGCTTTATTCGTCAATGGAATAAATATTTAGCCCCATATTATGTAGTAAAATGCCCATTTGCAATACAGCCACTTCGGGAAATCCAAGCAGAATACGAACATCCCAAATATATGACATATCGTTCAAGCTATAATGGGGCCTTCGAGACTGCATAGTTCGTACTGCTTCCATCAACCAAACGGAAATGATAGGACCTGAAAAATTTTTTCTTCCAGATAAAAAGTATACAGGTAATGATTAACTAAACTGTATTAGGATAGTTTAGTTAATCATATGAATCAATGTTTCTCTTTTTTAGAACCCATAAAAATCAGTTTGGAAAAATGGGAAAACTTACAGCAACTAAAAACGTTTTGTGAAACTGATGGTGCTTCAGAATTTTATGGTAATCTACCCTACAAATTAACCAGAAAAGCGAAGAAAAAGACAAAAGATGTGTTGCATACACTCATAGAGACCGACTCTGAGAAAGATGAAGAAGAAGAGCAAGAACAAAATAGGTACTCAAAGACGAAGAAAACTGCAGTAATAAAAAAAAAGAAACTGTTAGCAAGCGTAAAGAGGAAGTAATCAAAAATATGAGAACTGGTGGCAAGGGTAAAAAGAAGTAAAATAATTATCGCATAGCATAGATATTGAACTAAGATCGTTTTTAACAAGTTTGTCATGACAATCAACATTTTTGCGTTGTATTTTTTGTATTTTGGAATTGTTTTTTTATTTAAGTTAAAAACTGAAAGACTTATAAACATGACGTTTTTGACATAATATTATCCAATAAATATTCCACAAAATGGCTACTAACTTGTTTTCCTTAATATTCCTGCTTTAAGTGTATATGGTTTTAAAACTTAAAATTCAATTTACAGAGAATGAACTTTTAATGACCTTAATCGTTTTTGCTTTGTGCTCTTCATATACTGTGCATATAATCTATTGGGAAATCTGAAATCATGCCAATATTCAATTTTAATAAAGGTGAGGTATCCAAGTGATGATCTTCATCTTGCTGAATTACAAAAGATTCATATGGTGCTTTTCGTTGCATTAAGATTTGGGTAAATTAATCTGTTATTATATTTATCACAGGCAGCATATCCACCGTGACTTTTAATGCATTTAATGAATGCACGCGCAGGGGCATCACAAACAAAACTGTGAACTTTGAAGAAATATTGATTAATATCTACGTTTATACCGTCTTGGAGTAAATCATATAATTCATTAACAAATTGTTCAAAAAATGTACCTAGAGGTTTAGGTTTTGAGTCTAAGGGCTGCTTTTAAAGTTTTTTTATTAAACATCAAATTGGCCAGAGTTGAATATTGTTGCTGGCAAAAAGAGGTACTCCATCTATATTAAAACTTAGACTAAGATTTTCAATTACATTGGTTTGTTTCAAAATTATTTTACTCAATTGACTTTTTAAACCTATGTGACAATATTCGCCATTTTCGAGTTTTTGTTCAATAAATGAAACTTGTGTTTTTAATAGACTTCTGCCATCTAATGGCAATTCAGGGTGATATGGATTTAAAATGTGTAAAAGGCCTGTAATCGCAATTTGAGGAATACCAAATGTTAAACACCACTGTATTAGTAAGTATTTTAGATTATCTTCACATTCTATATTATAATTACTTGATTCTTCCGTATTTTGCTGATAAAATTTATAGTTGATCTCATTACAAGCATCTACAAAAATCCCTGTATCCTCGCAAGCATCTACAAAAATTTCTGCATCTACATCACAATTAATCTCTATAGAAATATCTGTATCGACATCACAAGCTTCTGCTTGTAAAAAAATATTTGTCTGAAGTATACTTTCATCTTGTTTTAAAGATTTACTGAAATTTTGAGCATTTACGTTTAGAGATTCAGTTTCATCTTTTTCACCATTTTCAATTAGAGGTAATGTTAATACTTCCTTTAAACTATTTTGGACATTGTGACTAATTCGTCGGTATAATTGTCGTTTTCCTATTTTTTTCTTTCTTGTCAACATTTTCAAAATTTAACAGAGATTTAAAATTTAAATCTTATAGAGTTTTAATTTTTTATAAGAAAAACTAAACTATTAGTTAAACTTATTAAAACTTAACAAGCACAGAAACATTTAGTTAAACTTACTTAAACTTATTAGATTAAACAAATTGTTCTTTAACAAAGAAACATTGAGTCCTTAGCCTAACAGATCTAATATTTCTTTTTCTTACTCTGTCCTACGTCGCTTTATCCTTGTTCTTTGAGGTGCATGCTTGAGCCAGTTTTTGATTAAATCTTCACAACCTCTATCGGAAGAATCTGGTTCTACTAATTTAACACTACCTAAAATAGATTCATATATAAATTTTATTACTCATATTTAAAGCATAGGCAACATTGTGATCAAAACTGATTAGCAAAGGTATAATATAGAATAAAATATATTATATTTTTTTAAGAAATACTTACAAATAATGCACCTGAATAAAGCCAACATACTAAAAGCCAATTTGTTTTGCCTTGAACCAATAAAATTATACCTGCTTGCCAAATCATCCGTCATAACTGTCCTTAAAATACGAGATATTCGAGATGAAGTGCCGTTACCTCCAAGTGATGCCAAATAACAACTCTAAAAACATTAAAATTAAAGTCACAAAACTGATTTTTTCAGTATTATCCACCAAATGTTTAATGAAAAAGAAAAAAACAAAATTTATGTTTAACAGCTTTAATATAAATATAAACCTAAATTTAAGACAGAAACAAGGTACTTACCAAACTGTTCAAGTTATTTTTTTCCTTTAAATAATTTTCCAATGTTTTAACATCATCAAGTGTTTTCAAAGGAATTTCTATGGGCAGAGTGGGTGGTAGTGATTGAACAGTGTTTGAGTCTCTTTCATTTAAACGATTTAAAATTTGTTCATTTTGCAGCTTGACCGTAATTAAAAGTTGTAAATTTTTTTTTTACGGAATGCTAAAATCAATTATTAAAATTTATATAAGGTTGTTTGCTAATAAAATAAATAAAACTATATGCCCTAAGTGGCTTTAAAAATTAAGAAAAAAAATGTTTTCAATGCAACAGACCAAAGAGTTACAGTGTCATATATTTTACTCTTACATAATATACCTATAGATATATGTATACATGACATATTTATAAAAAAATGCATTTTTTATGAAAAAAATACAACAAAGAACTAGTTTCAATAATAATAGATTATTCTATGATTTAAATGTGTTTAAAAAAAAAAGGTAACATACTTACACTCATTACAAACAGAACCGTCACGATGGCTTGATGTTGGAGTTGCATTTACACCTTCATTTCCTAGAAAATTTGGTCGTCCATTAGATGCAATTCTCATTGAAGATGGTGCCTGATATGGAGTATTTTTAAGTACTTAAGCTTTCTTTTGAACTGGTAGTTGGAGATTTATGTCCTTGGTTACGGTGAATGCCTAAATCATGGTTGTCCGAAAATGAACAACTAGGGGACCCGCTATACGAAAATTCTTGATGACTTTCTAAAATAAATAAATAAACTGTAGAATTAGATTAAAGTAGTTTAACTAGGTACCTTGGAAAAGTCTATATGGTTTCACAATTTTTGGCGGGCGAGGCAAATCAGATTTAACGGGATTGTTTAAATCCTCATCACTATCACTGAAAATATATTTTGCAGGTCGAATAATTCTTCGTTTTGTTGGACCCTCTTCTGAGTCGATTTGTAAATCTGAGGTCAGTAGGGTTGGAACAAGAATTCGAGCCCAATTTCCCATGTTAAAATCCCATAGGAAAAAATCAAAAGTTCCATTCTGCAATTTTTTGTCCATATCAAGTCACACACCTGCGGCATCCACCTTCCCCCACCAAGGTCGCTCGGTCGCCGTCAGTTGGCCGCTACCAGCCGACCACCCTCAGGGATTGAACCCGAGACCCCTCTGCACCAGAGTCGGAAGCGCTACCTGCTGAGCTACCGTTCGGAATTGAGATGCTATAAAATATTTATTTAAATATATTTAAATAATTATTAATTATTTAAAATTTAACTAATGTATAAAAAACTATAAAATAATTAATATAAAATACGGTTTAAAATTGTTATTAAACTTTTGCGGTGCGCGCTGATAAGAAAAAAAACCTATTTCCCAAAGTAATGTATGTAAAACTATAAAATAATTGCAAATTTTAAATATCTCACACTAAATTAATTTTTTATTTTTTCCGAGAGGATTTTTTAAAATATTTATTTGAATAAAAGTATTAAATTAGTATTAATTTACCAATGACCTAGTTTTTTTTAATACATGCATTGGCGAAATACCTAATTAGCAGACTGATGCAACATTTCTTATATTAATTTAGTGGAATTCGACGACCTTGTGCTTTACGATCATTGTGAATGGAAGTTTTCATGCACCAATGACCAATTGTCCAGGTAGTTTAAAGAATTAAAGAGATAAAATACAATTAAAATAATTTTCTCTAATGTAAATAAATATGCTAAGGATAGTAATTATAATTATAAACATTGAAAAAAAATATAATTAAAATATTGTTTCCTTATTATTTAGATTTTCAATATTGCTTGGGGTGTGTTAAAAAATGAATTTCTGGTGCAATAAAACAGTTATAAATATATAAGTATACTTTCTCTAAATTCTTAAAATTGTTTAGTAGTTAAAAACAGAGATAAAATCTTGTTTTTATAAATTTTGTGTACAAAATGGGGAGACAAAAACTGAAAAAAACCTTACTTATATCCTCTAATTATTGAAAGTTTCTACATTTCGAATAAGTAATATTATGCATATTTTTAAAAGATTAACAAAACCTTGTGTACCTACATTGTTGCATATCATATTTTCTTGCGTGTTTTTTTCAATTTCTCATGAATTTTATTAAACACCGCCACTTTAATTTCTTAAATGCATAGATGCGATTTAAAATGTTCTGATTTCATTTTCTTGTTAACATGTGTTTAATGATAAAAATAAATGCTGACATGACAATTATTTTCATATAAAACTTTTTTAAAATTATAATTTAATTTTATTTTTACAAGAAACGTGTGTCAACTTGTTTTTATTTTTTGTTGTGAAGTTAATTAAAAAAAATGTTTTTTACAAGTTTTATTACCATGTTGTGTATAATAAAAAATGGTTAGTTTGGCACCAATAGACCAATCAGAACATAAAACTAATTTATCCAGACGATGTGGTAACAGCTTGCAGATAAATTGTGATGAAAAAAATTGTTTTTTGCAATAAGGAAAACCATAGGCTAAGTTTGGAAAATTAGGAAATGCGCAAAGAAATTGACGAATTAGAAAACAATTTAAATAGAGAGGAAGAAAAAATGCAAATTGACTGTGGAAATTATGGAAGAACAATATATAAAGTAAAAAACAATATATAAAGTAAAAAACAGGGATAAAATATAACAAGTATACTTTCTCCAAATTCCCACAATTGTTTATTAGTAAAAACAGAGATAAAATCTTGTTTTTGTAATATTATATTTCTAAAAAATTGTCCAGGTAGTTTAAAGAATTAAAGAGATAAAATACAAT